TTTCCGCAATGACTCGGTTTTGAGCTATTCCACTTTCTGAAAATCCACCGACATCCACCGAGATCCAAACCATCACATGCTTCGCTCGCGGCTTCAGGCTCGAATCACAATGTGTTGGAGTTGATCTCTGCAGTGGGAGACTCGGGAACATCCCGAGGGATCGGGATGTTCCCATTTCCCCCTTGTAGATATCAGCTCCAACACATTGTGAACAGACCAAGTTCTTCGTGGTACCTCAGAACGGCAGGTCCAGCACCCCCAGATGACGTGCCATGTGCCAGATTTGTCAGTTCCAGTGGTGTTGCCCACTTCAACAGTGCCACAGCCTGAAAGGGACATGTTCACACACGAACTGTTGGATCTGTTGGTGTTTCGAAGGTCCTGACATCATGAAAACAAGTTGATGGATCCAAATGTCTGACCCAAAAGCTCGGCCAAGACCTGACACGATGGGTCTTCCATCTTGATCCATCCCTGACGTCAATATGTTTGGCCCCTCTGCGGCCCGCACTTGGCACTTTGGTCAACTGGGTAGCCTCGCGCATCAGTAAAAATCACCATGTTTTCAAGAGATTCTCAACAAAACAGTTCTATTGAAATTTGCTCCAAGACCTATTTCATCCTGATGCCTAAATGACTCCCGTCTTTCGACATACATACAAGTCTCATCTAAGATGAATCTACACGCTCCAAACTGAACTTCTTGGCCGAAACGAATCTAGTCATCTAGAGTTCTGCAGCCTTTTGAAGGAAAAGATGGAAAAGGAGTACCTCTGCAGGGACAACAGAATTTCCTATCAGGATAATGGCACCGGTGTGCCTCATGTCGTTCGCAAGGGTGCGTTCACACCTCATCCCGAACCCAAGCTGCATGGACAGGGCTGCACAACGTGGAAAGGACAATGAAACAACCAAATCGCTGCCCATTGCACATGGTGCCATGGACAATGGAAAGAATTTCAGACTTTCGACTTAATCTTATGTGGAAGTTTTGAGCCATAGAGAATGTTGGAGAGCGATGAGCCACAAGTTGTCCAAGGCATGTCTCTCTGGAACCAAGTCCCAATGTGTGTTTAAAAAAATAAAAAATAAACGTGGAACCGTTTGGAAACCAGTCAAATTGCGGCCCGCCTTTCCATCGATCCAATTACATTTTTGGACCAAATGCCCGGCCTCAAGACTGCCACTTTCTACCCTCAACTTCATGTGCCAGTGTCAGGACCTGTCTCGCTTGTTGATGCAAGAGGGTCTCACACATTTTCATTGGCGCCTTGATACTCTTTCCGCAATGAGTCGGTTTTGAGCTGTTCCACTTTCTGAAAATCCACCGACATCCACCGAGATCCAAACCATCACATGCTTCGCTCGCGGCTTCAGGCTCGAATCACAATGTGTTGGAGTTGATCTCTGCAGTGGGAGACTCGGGAACATCCCGAGGGATCGGGATGTTCCCATTTCCCCCTTGTAGATATCAGCTCCAACACATTGTGAACAGACCAAGTTCTTCGTGGTACCTCAGAACGGCAGGGCCAGCACCCCCAGATGACGTGCCATGTGCCAGATTTGTCAGTTCCAGTGGTGTTGCCCACTTCAACAGTGCCACAGCCTGAAAGGGACATGTTCACACACGAACTGTTGGATCTGTTGGTGTTTCGAAGGTCCTGACATCATGAAAACAAGTTGATGGATCCAAATGTCTGACCCAAAAGCTCGGCCAAGACCTGACATGATGGGTCTTCCATCTTGATCCATCCCTGACGTCAATATGTTTGGCCCCTCTGCGGCCCGCACTTGGCACTTTGGTCAACTGGGTAGCCTCGCGCATCAGTAAAAATCACCATGTTTTCAAGAGATTCTCAACAAAACAGTTCTATTGAAATTTGCTCCAAGACCTATTTCATCCTGATGCCTAAATGACTCCCGTCTTTCGACATACATACAAGTCTCATCTAAGATGAATCTACACGCTCCAAACTGAACTTCTTGGCCGAAACGAATCTAGTCATCTAGAGTTCTGCAGCCTTTTGAAGGAAAAGATGGAAAAGGAGTACCTCTGCAGGGACAACAGAATTTCCTATCAGGATAATGGCACCGGTGTGCCTCATGTCGTTCGCAAGGGTGCGTTCACACCTCATCCCGAACCCAAGCTGCATGGACAGGGCTGCACAACGTGGAAAGGACAATGAAACAACCAAATCGCTGCCCATTGCACATGGTGCCATGGACAATGGAAAGAATTTCAGACTTTCGACTTAATCTTATGTGGAAGTTTTGAGCCATAGAGAATGTTGGAGAGCGATGAGCCACAAGTTGTCCAAGGCATGTCTCTCTGGAACCAAGTCCCAATGTGTGTTAAAAAAAACAAACAATAAACGTGGAACCGTTTGGAAACCAGTCAAATTGCGGCCCTCCTTTCCATCGATCCAATTACATTTTTGGACCAAATGCCCGGCCTCAAGACTGCCACTTTCTACCCTCAACTTCATGTGCCAGTGTCAGGACCTGTCTCGCTTGTTGATGCAAGAGGGTCTCACACATTTTCATTGGCGCCTTGATACTCTTTCCGCAATGAGTCGGTTTTGAGCTGTTCCACTTTCTGAAAATCCACCGACATCCACCGAGATCCAAACCATCACATGCTTCGCTCGCGGCTTCAGGCTCGAATCACAATGTGTTGGAGTTGATCTCTGCAGTGGGAGACTCGGGAACATCCCGAGGGATCGGGATGTTCCCATTTCCCCCTTGTAGATATCAGCTCCAACACATCGTGAACAGACCAAGTTCTTCGTGGTACCTCAGAACGGCAGGTCCAGCACCCCCAGATGACGTGCCATGTGCCAGATTTGTCAGTTCCAGTGGTGTTGCCCACTTCAACAGTGCCACAGCCTGAAAGGGACATGTTCACACACGAACTGTTGGATCTGTTGGTGTTTCGGAGGTCTTGACATCATGAAAACAAGTTGATGGATCCAAATGTCTGACCCAAAAGCTCGGCCAAGACCTGACATGATGGGTCTTCCATCTTGATCCATCCCTGACGTCAATATGTGTGGTCCCTCTGCGGCCCGCACTTGGCACTTTGGTCAACTGGGTGGCCTCGCGCATCACTAAAAATCACCATGTTTTCAAGAGATTTTCAACAAAACAGTTCTATTGAAATTTGCTCCAAGACCTATTTCATCCTGATGCCTAAATGACTCCCGTCTTTCGACATACAAACAAGTCTCATCTACACGCTCCAAACTGAACTTCTTGGCCGAAGCGAATCTAGTCATCTAGAGTTCTGCAGCCTTTTGAAGGAAAAGGAGTACCTCTGCAGGGACAACAGAATTTCCTATCAGGATAATGGCAGCGGTGTGCCTCATGTCGTTCGCAAGGGTGCGTTCACACCTCATCCCGAACCCAAGCTGCATGGACAGGGCTGCACAACGTGGAAAGGACAATGAAACAACGAAATCGCTGCCCATTGCACATGGTGCCATGGACAATGGAAAGAATTTCAGACTTTCGACTTAATCTTATGTGGAAGTTTTGAGCCATAGAGAATGTTGGAGAGCGATGAGCCAGAAGTTGTCCAAGGCATGTCTCTCTGGAACCAAGTCCCAATGTGTGTTGAAAAACAAACAATAAACGTGGAACCGTTTGGAAACCAGTCAAATTGCGGCCCACCTTCCATCATCCAATTGCATTTTTGGACCAAATGCCCGGCCTCAAGACTGCCACTTTCTACCCTCAACTTCATGTGCCAGTGTCAGGACCTGTCTCGCTTGTTGATGCAAGAGGGTCTCACACATTTTCATTGGCGCCTTGATACTCTTTCCGCAATGACTCGGTTTTGAGCTGTTCCACTTTCTGAAAATCCACCGACATCCACCGAGATCCAAACCATCACATGCTTCGCTCGCGGCTTCAGGCTCGAATCACAATGTGTTGGAGTTGATCTCTGCAGTGGGAGACTCGGGAACATCCCGAGGGATCGGGATGTTCCCATTTCCCCCTTGTAGATATCAGCTCCAACACATTGTGAACAGACCAAGTTCTTCGTGGTACCTCAGAACGGCAGGTCCAGCACCCCCAGATGACGTGCTATGAGCACATGCAGAGAGCAGGTCGCCACCAAACAACCAGTTCATCCTGATGTGTCATGCAAATGCAATCAGGAAGTGGTAAGCAGCAAGAATCACCTTATCACTACACTGCCTTAGCATGCCTCCACCTGTGGATAATGAAGGACACACCTGTGGGTAGCTCAATGAGAAAGGAAACTCAAATTCAGAATCATAGTTACACTATGTTACACTGCCAATGGACTGGGACTGCTATCCAACCTCAATCTCTGCACTGCTTCCTACAGACATGACCCGGCCATCGCAACTTGCCTCTGCCCATTTTCATGGCCGGATGAATAGCCTTGGAAGTTGCATCTGCAAGTCATGGATAAGTCCTCTCGATGAAATCATTGATCTTCTTCCAAAATACCAAGTGAGATCCCCAACAGCCCAGTGCAAAGCAGTGGTAGCTGTTGGCATTTTTTCCGATGCAAAGCACATCCACATGCAAAGCTATCTTCCATGCCCGAGTTCCAATTGCTCTATGCACGAAAAAAAAAGAAGAAATGGTGTTTGTCTGAAAATAGTGTACCCCTACACCCAATGGTTAATGATCATTATCCCTACTAAATGGCTATAATTGGGGGTATACCCCATTTTCAGACATACCCAAATTGAAAGCCCACCAGGTCGACACTCTCGGCACCTGGTCGTCCCAACTTCGCCGCGGACTTTGGAAAAGTCCAGCGAGGAACGTGCGTCCTTTGGCGCCCAGCTGGGATCCCAATCAGCACTTGTCAAAATCCATGATTTTCGGAGTCGAAACAAAGCACCCCAAAATATCGAAACAGGAACTTGTCTTACTTGAGATTCTTCCAGTCATGGTCATACTGTGAGATGAATACGTCCTAAACCCAAAAACAAACCATGACCAGGTCTAACAGACGTGGGTCACCGGATGTCGGCCTCGCGGATCCAGGACATAGCGTGGCCGTCTTGGAAGTGATCACTCACCTGGGGGTATAGGGATGAGGATTTTGAGGATTATTAATCATGATTAATCAATGGAATATCAATGGATTTGGGGGTAGTTTCAATGAGAAAAATTGATGGCACTTTGTTTTCGTTGGACCATCCGGAGCTTCTGATCTAGCCAGAACTTGTGGCGAAACCAGTCTGCAGGAGCGAGATCCCTCACATGGCAATGATTTCTATGAGTTATCTGTTTGCAATCTTCACTGGATCTCAGGCCAGTCAGCTCAAAATTGCAATTGGGAGTCCATCATGCAGGCTGTCCCGAAAGAATCGCGCCCTTGCTTTCACATTGAAAGACCAAAATAGACCATGAAGATCCAGTAAGACCATTTTGGAAAGTCCATCTTTTGTGGGTTTGGTTACGGCGACACCCTTGGTCACCCTGTCCAGCCACTCTGGCAGTGCACCTTTTCCAAGACGTCTGGGGGCAGCTCCACCAGCAGCTCTTGGCACAAAGCCAGGGAACCTGGCGGAGTCTGCAAGTCAGCCAAAGACTGCCCACAGCGGATCTGGCTTCATCTACACAGGAGAATCGAAACATCCAATATCAATATCCACTAATCAGTCTTTCATGACAGTATTTTCTCTTGCTCATAATGTTTCTTGATCGGATCATTTGTTTGGCCCACAGCCCCACCTGAAATCCCCCAGCCCCACCTGCATTCACCAGCATCACGCAGGTCCAGGTCAGGCTGTTGGCATCCGGCAGCCCCCAACTGGCGGCCTGCCCCAATGCATCAGCCGGGCCGCGTCAGGTAGAAGGACAACTTGCCGCAGTTCTGCAGGAAGCTGCGCTTCCTTGGCCGGGGATGGGGATGGGGTTCGGGAGAGGAGCTTAGGCGTCAAGTTGCTGATGTTGAAACTGAGATTCAGGGAAAAATAGGGTTTAGGTCCCGGCTTACTTGGCAATCATTTGGCGCCTGTAGCCAGAGACGAAGGGATCCATTGTCATACGCTCTGGCCAGCCAAGCGTCGGCTGTTGCTCCAGGGATAAGATATCCCAAACGATCTGCGACCTCCGCTGGGCTGCGACACATACCAGGTCCATGTTTCGGTAAGAAAACCTTTCGGCCGATAGTTGAAAAACGTTTTTGTAAGATGTCCAAATGTGCACAATCACCTCAAAACGAGCATCAAGTTGAATCAAGTTCCCATAGATTTGAGATTTGTGTATAGATCTTTTGGATCTAATCTCCATCCATCATTCATCGGTGTAATCATCCACCCAAATCCCAGAAAGCCATATCCGTACCTCAAGCGGAGATGCTGCAGATACTCTTTCATGGCGTCCTCATACTCCGGCAACTTCAAGGAGGTGCAGGCTACCTGCCACCGTTCAGCAGCAAAAATGGAGGGTTTTACCATGTTTTCCTTCTAGAAATCTCACAGGGTAGTGAGAAAAAAACAAACTTTAAATGAGGAACGTCATCTGCAAAGTAGTGGATGTTTGTTGCAATGGTTCTTAGACTACTAGAGGTGTGATATAGTTGTAATATATTGTAATTAAAGGACCATGGATTGGATGAGATATGATGGCATGTTCATGCATGTTCATGTTCCAATTTCTCTGCAACTTCGTTTTGTGAAAAGCACAACGCCGGCAACTTAGTCATAACCGCAAGTCTCAAGAAATGGAACCAATGGAACCACTAATCCAATCCCATTCAATTCCCGTCCAAATCCCGTCCAAATCCAATCCATGTCACTCTGTCCGCCAAATGTTGCGCCAGCGCCGGGATCAGCTGTGACCCAGGATATTCAGCCCAGTCGCAGGAGAGTAGGCAATCCAAAAGGCAGTTCTCCTGTGGGGTAGGTAAATTATAATGGCTATGGATGGCTATGGATGGCTATAGTAGGTTTGTAACCCCTATATGCAATTGACATCAATTTAACCTTGTAAGCAGGTTTGTAACATACTTTATTGGTAGGACTGGTAGGATGAACCACTGTACAAAACAGTAGCTTGTCGATGCACTTGACTGGATGGTAACTGGGGGTTGCCTGCCACCGTTCCCCCCATGCCGCATCCTGCGCCACAGCCGTCAAGAGGGCACAATGCGCCAAATGTTCTTCCATCCGCTGCTGGATGTCAACGTCGCCGGTCGCTGCAGCATCGTGGAAAGCGATCCCTGAGCTGTCATGGATTGGGGTTAAGTGTCGGACTCTGGCAGTTCTGACATGTTTTGACAGCCTGATTGGTTGGTAGAGAATCAAAAACAACCCACCAAAATGAAAAACTGCAAAGTTTCCGATGTTGTCTGTGTTGGCAAAACTGACATGCCCTGTAACCATGCTGGACAAACCATCCTGACCATCGCCAAGGCGCTTGGGGCCCCCAAAGCCTAAGAGGGCGCCCAGAATGGCATGCTGCAGCTGAGGGAGGTCATGGGGCACACGCACGCTTCAGCCAAGGCCGGTATAGAGCAGTTGAAACAGCGGATTTTTCCACGGGTTCTTTGTTTCTTGACGGGAAACTGATCTTCAGCAGTCCATGATTTTTTGTTTGTTGGATGTTTCTTGCAATCAAATTTCATTTGACTTGTGGCATTGTTTGATTTGTAAAAACCGTGGAATATGTTGTTCACGCCAGCGGGCCCCAGCTTAAAATTATGTTGGTCACGGCTGTATTCGAATACAAGACGGTTGGATTCCGAAACTCGGAATTGTGTTCGGAAACTAGGCTGTTGTGTTCGGAAATTAGGCCGTGGTATTCAAAAAATGGAAAACTGCATTCGGAAACTGAAAAGTTGCATTCGGAAACAAAGCAGGGACAAACCCTGCACGAACCCTAAGGAAACCCAAACCAAACCGTATACAATCCCTAAGCAAACCCTCAAAGAAACTTAAAACCTAAGCAAACAGAACACTAGAAAGAAAACCCTTCAAAAACCCTGAAAATCTTGAAAACCTGAGAGGAGGTGACGAAAGCCAGGGACCAGTTGGAAGGGAGACAGGAGAGTGGAGAGCATGGCAGGGATTGCGGTTGGGGGTTGGTTGAGGCATCGTTTGGGAAGCTGAGGAGCCGGCATGGTGAGGCCTGGTTTGGGTGCGCCCGTGGGGTGTCTTTGGAGAGAAGGAAAGAATGTGTAGGAAGAAGGAGCGAAGGAACGGTAGGGAAAGTGTGAAGAACGTGTTTGAGGAAGTGGAATGGCGGGCTCTTTTAAAGAGGTTTGAGGGCGCAAAAGAGCCCGGAAGGGGAGAGGAGGTGTCGGCGGCAAGGGAAGCAAGGAGGAATGGGTTACGGGCGGCTGTCGAGAAGGAATCTCTGTGGGGTGTCTGGAAAATGCAGTGAAGGCGGGTGGAATGCAGGGAGCTAGTGGGAGGAGGCTGTGGGAAGGGGTTCGCCATGGTGACAAGGACGATGTTAGGTGGTGAACAATTTGGATGGGGAGTGGTGTCGGGTGGAAAGGAGGTTCATGGGCTGGCTTTCGTAAAATGAATGGAGGCCAGCAATTGTCCACTTTTTCCCCACATCCTTTGCTCTGACTTCATTCCGAAGGTTTCTCTTGATTCGTTGTAAGATCAAAACTCAACCCGAACAGACTGTGACAAGGACATGCTTACGAGTGGACAGTTGCACAAGTTGAGGATGACTCCAATCGCCATCCAATCGCGATCCAATCGCGCTCCAGCAGTACCGCTCATACTCGCATAGTTGCCTCAAATTGTCCACTTTTTCCCCAAATCCTCTGCACTGACTTCATTCCGAACGAGCAACCTCACACATGCACCCCCGGCCACGCACCTCCCTCATCCCACCCCCAGGCATCAGCAGCCATCTGCAACCTTCACCCTGCGGGCTCCTTTGCTTCCCAGCAGGTACCTAAAAGAGCCTCACCCCAAAGGCCCCCCCAAGCCACGCTCTTTCTTCCCTCCAACCTTCTCGCCCCATCACACACCTCGCCCCGGAACTCCAATCCGTACGCCGTGCGATTTATTTTATCCTTCCATCCCACGTGATTAGGTAGCATGACGGCACGCGGGTCTCATCCGTACGCAAAAGCCTTACAGAACAAGGTTCCTAAGCCGGGCATCTTGCAGATGGCTCAGCTTCAACTGCACCCTATCAAGTCACTCTTCACTTTGTGTTTGTCAGAACTGTTGTTCTTCTCATAAAAACAAAGTTGAAATTGAGTTCCAGACTGGTGAGACTCGTAGCACCAGCCTCAGCTTCATGGCGACCAAGCTTCACGTAGCGCTCTGTGTACACGCGCTCGGCCCATGCCTGGCAACAAATGGATCTCGTGTCTGGTAAAGATCAATCTGACGTTCGCACCTTCACCCTGGGCTGGACTTGCTCCCAAGCCCACCACGCCATGAAGAGCGCGCGGAAGTGGGCAGACGACCCTGTTTCTTTTTGAAAGAGCTACGAACAGGTTTGAATTGCTACAACGCCTTGCAATTGTGTCTCAACCTTGTCTTACAAAGGTTCCCCACTAGCGTATCTTACAAACGTGTCGTCCTACAAGTAACCCTGCAAAGCATCATACTAGAGTGTCACACAAAATTATGTTCCAAGAGTGTCCCATACGTGTCTTCCAAAAGTGTCCCAAGTTTTCGTATGTGCATTTGCATTCGTGGGTTCTATTGGCTGCTGTCTTGCTGTTACATTTAGGCAACCAAATGCAGGACAGCCCAAAACTTGTGACCCAATCCCTTCACGAAAATGAAAGTGAAATTAAAAATCAAACTGCTAGTGGAAGTGACATTGAAGTAGTTGGCCACCGGAACAAAACTCGGCCAAATCAACAGAGCTCGGGCCAAACAACATTTAGGGCAAAACCATGAAGAATGATTCGATTTGCATTTGGGCATGCCAATTGAGTGTGGTGGTTCGATTTGCCTTGCCGAATGCGGCAGTACACTGGTCGGTCCAACTGTCTTTTGCAAAACCGCCACTCGAGGGTAACAAAGAAGGTAATTCTGCCTTGCAAATGAAAACCATGGGCACAAACTAGAGGTGAGAGGGTGAAGCCACTCTTCTCACCGAAGTTTCGTTCGGTCGCATCTACGAAAACCAACAAATCCCATAACGGTGTTGTACAGTCGGCACACTTTCATTGTGTTTCACAAATTCTTTCTTGAGCTTCTGCAGACAAAGGATTTCATGTTGTCACCATGGATGCATTTGGTTCGTGGGTTGTCTTTCGTTTTTCATACAGAACAACTGCTCTCATTTCTACATGCTGCTCAATTCAGACTGACAAGCAGGAACAGCTCTAGATTCTAGATGAAAATGTCTCCTTGCCGTGAGGATCTGTAGCTGTGCTTCAAGGCAGAGTTGAGCACTGCAACTGCCGTTTCATATGACAACTGAGAATGCTGTAGTCTTGCAACTGGCATAAAGCCTCACGGCCAGCAAATAGCTGTAGCTCATGACTGTTGAGGCCCCTCAGTGTTAGGCCGCCAGGTTGGGCCATTCCCACCGTACTGCGCAACGGAACTTGTTTTGATGGTGTTTGAAGGGGAGGCATAACAGCACCACAAAGGGGGAGTCACAAGAGGGCTCCGTTTCAACGGGCATCAAAATTAGAGATGGAGTCGGACTGTCTTTTCTTCGCGGCCTTTGGGATTGTCATCCGAATCCAAAGTCTCATTCGTCCAGCTCATGGCTGTCGATGTCATGATCTCTGGATGATTTTGGGACTCAAAATTTAGATATTGCAACTCTTATCCAAAGTTTGAAAAGAACCCCGCCTGGTTGGCAGATCAGAATGAACACGGGGCAATAGAGAATGGACTTCTGCATCTTTGGCGATCCGGTGGGAGACCGGGTGCAACTGACTCTTTGCTACACCCAAAAAACCCGGACTATTTTGATGCTATCCGTCTGAGTTTATATACATCGATTTCAAAGCAAAAAACTGAAAGGCAGGGCCAGCATAGGCTAACGTTTGTGTGCACCATGTATGAAATGCACATTGGTTTCGGTCATCCAATGTTTCGAGTTAAAAACATTGGTTCAAAAGTTTGCAATAGTTGGATGTCTTTCTGAAAGTTTCCGGCAGGCCAGGTGGCACCTCATCCCACTTGCGAGCTTTGGCAAATTCCAACAGCTGATGTGCTTCAGCAGCCCATCCTTCATGGCGGGTTGCTGACGCTGGCACCCATTTTGGTTGGGATCAGCCGAAGAGATCTATCAAGCATCCTACTCACTGCGATGTGCAGCGTCAAGTTCCAACAATTTCTTTGAGAGACATCTCTGACTCTGTTCGCCCTACTCCCGAGAATGTGGAAAACTGGGATTCAAACTGGATCAAATCTATCCATCAAAAAAAAAATATACATAGCTCTGCCAGCCCCAAGAGCCAACCCCTTCATGCTCGTGGCATTCCCTGCCAGAACACCAAGTTGAAGAGACATGGGTGAAAAAAATGGTCGAAGACCAGTAGTTGAAATCATTTTGGGTCAACTGGGTCAGTTTTTAAACCTTGCACTTGGGATCATCATACATGACCCGGAGGAAAAAACATGCAAAAAAAATCCGGAATTGGCATGAGATGCATCAACTACTATTTGGAAGTAAGTACAAACGCAAAAGCAACTATATGCACACGCTCGCTTCACAGCTGGCAAGCCCGCATTGGGGCAAACGCGGCCAAGAGCAAATCACGCGCTATGATCATGGGCTCTCATAAGCAGAAATTCCAGCTGCTGCCGAATCTCAGTGATACTGAGCAGTTCAAGCACAAAAGGAGCTTCACCAGCATCGCAGGAGGCCCCCCCCTCAAGCTCGTCCAACAGGCCTAACTGAAGGCCTAAAATAGGCCAGTTGGGGTTGTCTGGCAACTTGCGTTGCCAGGAGGCAACGCAAGTTCTTGATCCGTTTGCTCAACCCTTTGCTGCAAACACAGAATGTGCGAGATCAACTCTGCGCGCTCTTCATCGGGTTCTTGCTGCTGCCCTTCTTCTTCCACACAAACAAACCCTTGAGAAAGACGCAGCAATCCCGGCACCGAAAGCTCGGGTGGCTGGGTTTGGGACGAGGAGCGTGCAAAACCACGACTGCCTCTGTTCCTCACCGCAGCCACCGCAGCAAACCAAACAAAAAAGAAGAACAACATCATGCCAAGTCCAAAAACAAACACGTGGAAATCTCACAACTGCAAACAAATGCTGCGGAGATGGATGTTTCGCGTTCCTTCGTCAGTGTTCTCTAACGTGTTCTGACGTCTTTATGAGCCTGAGGCCAGTGTGGGAATGTTTTCACGCTTGTTTTGAAACATATCTGCCAGTGAAACACAATCTATGCCCGGTGATTCAGATGACCTCATTCTTCGCAATATACAGAACATGTTTTCCAAGATCATCTAAGGTCAACACTGCAACCTGCCATATCTAT